TCTACAGATGAACTCCCACTGGGCTCATCAGGATGGGTTCACAGCCCAAGTCCCTACAGGAGCAGTGTCCTCCTGGGTCCCCCTAGTTCTCTTATACCCAAATGTCCCTGGGAATCCCAGAGTGATGCTTGCTTGAGTTAGGTTATTAGTATTATCCCATTTTACAGAATGGGGAAAGCTGATGCATAGAGTCAACATGTACAAAAGCAGCCTTATTTTGTGTGCCTAACACCACACACTTGGCCTGATTTTCAGAATGGCCATGACCAATCACTGAAACAGATGCCATGCGGTTCTGCAGGTGGTCATTGGCTCTGAAAACCAGGACCATATTGTTTTGCATTATTCAGCATTTCAAATCTGTGATTTAATGGCCAGTATATAATTTGAAAATTGAACCAACCTTCTTTGGAATGAGACATGGTGATAGATCCATGCACATCCTTACTGTTATAAACCCGTTTCAATTACCAACCGATTATAAGGGCTCCCAATAGAGAGGGCCCAGTGGTTACCATAGAAAAGAGGAAATTGCTGAGTGCTCATTATCAAAGTGAGGCTGGGAAATGAGCTCAGTTCTTATGAAGCACTAAATCAACTTCAGATTGGATGGATGTGCTGGGGAAGCAGAGAACCTGGTGTGATCAAATGAACTGAATGGCTGCTAGGTGCCAATTTACAACAATGCTATAAACAGCTGATTTGATTTTTTTCCCCCTCTTAGGAGATTAATATTTAAGATGCAACTGGATATTTAATATTCTCCAGAACACTCGCTTGAAAAAGGCCTACAAGCTGAAATGTTGAGAATATACCTCTAAACAATGGCATTCTTTATGAGCTTATTTTCTAGTCTTTTTAAAAAGTTGTGCAACTGATGCATTGCAGATTTTATAAAGAAATTAGTACAGAACATCCTGTTGTCCATTTCCGTAGTCATCATCTGGCCCAACCCTGCAAAATGATAGTACCCTTGACTTCCATTGTAGTCAGATTGTTTTTCTGTCATGAACAAACAAAGTCCCCATTTCAAACAGTATATAGCTCACAATTGTTTTATTGTATTTACTTTGCTAGGATTTTTCACAGCAACCTAAGGAAGTTAGGGATCTAGATTCCACTGAAATTGCCCAGGATTGAGCATCTATCTCACTCCTTTGCACATCCCATCCTTTCTGGACGGGCTCAAACAAGCCTAAGAACCAAAAAGGAGCTGACTTTAGCTTATTGTTTTTCAGGGATATGGCAATATCTGTATTAAACTTAGTCATATCATATTACAGTGATGACACTAATTAAGGCTCAGGGCCTGCAAATGCTTATGCAACTTAGTAGGACTGAGTGAGGTTTCTCATGCACATGTAATAGAATATACATCCTCTAGAAACATCAGATGGATAAACGTTGTAGGCTGTCCAATAGTGAATGTCAAATTCCCCAGACAGAAGCTTGTCTGAATTCAGCAGTCTCTGAGAGACTCAAAAAAGATCTCTCAACATGAAAAAAGAAAAGTCACTTGCCATGAGGATTGATTTCACAATGTCCCTATCGCCCTTCAGTAGGGTACTACTTCAGCCTGCTACTCCCGTAGGTCTTGACCTCTGGATCTGACAGCTGAGTTTCTCCTAAGACTAACATTAAGAAAGACAACATTGGCATGGAGGGCTGAATAACAATTTAAAAGCAGGACTCTCCTTTACCCCATAATATTGCTGCTCTGCTCATCCTCCGTCTTATCTAGCAGTCGAGCTGGCAAACTTATCACAAAAATCCTACAAAGCAAACTGGTGCAGTCTTGCCACACTACCCTGTTCATCAAGTAGGCATTTTCGATGGTATGTAATTTACCTCCTTAACCAAGAACTACCTCTGTCCGTACGTGATATAATTTTGCCACAACATTTTTCTTTTTGTTGAATTAATCTGAAACCACAATCAGAGGCATGGGGACTCAGTCAAGCACCCATAATTAAATGCAACAGTAGCCATGTGGCTATGTCCCAGCACAACAATTTGGAAGTTAATGGATGTTCTGCTACGGGTAATTACAATATATCTGTATTGGTGTAATGCCTGGAAGATACTTTTCCTGGGGAAAAGGGAAATTCCAAGACTCCATTCAGAACACCCCACACCTCGAAGTATGGCCCCAGTGTCCCACCAACCAAACCCACTCCACACAAGCTTTTTTTGCGTTTGCATTGGCTTTACCTTTTGTTACTGGCCCAAACAAATTAAAATATGGGCTACTGTATGTGTCGGGGGAGGGGGGGGGGAATCATTAAGGTCTGATGATCTTAGTTATACTTAGTATTTTCCTAATCACTTTAGGTTACCAGTCAAAAAAAAGGTTGAATAAATATTTGAAGAGCCCCTTAAAAACTAGTTACATGTTGTCAGAAAAATAAAAAAATAAAAAAAAGGGAAGGGTAAACACTTTTAAATCCCTCCTGGCCAGAGGAAAAAACCCTTTCACCTGTAAGAAGCTAAAGATAACCTCGCTGGCACCTGACCAAAATGACCAATGAGGAGACAAGATACTTTCAAAGCTGGAGGGGAGGGGGGAACAAAGGGTTCTCTCTGTCTGTGTGTTTTTTCTTTTGCTGGGACCAGAACAGAAATGCAGGTCAGAACTCCTGTAAAGGGTTAATAAGCAATCTAGTTAGAGATGCGTTAGATTCTGTTTTGTTTAAATGGCTGATAAAATAAGCTGTGCTGAATGGAATGTATATTCCGGTTTTTGTGTCTTTTTGTAACTTAAGGTTTTGCCTAGAGGGATTCTCTATGTTTTGAATCTGATTACCCTGTAAGGTATTTACCATCCTGATTTTACAGAGGTGATTCTTTTACTTTTTTTCTTCAATTAAAATTCTTCTTTTAAGAACCTGATTGCTTTTTCATTGTTCTAAAGATCCAAGGGTTTGGGTCTGTGTTTACCTATGCAGATTGGTGAGGATTTTTATCAAGCCTTCCCCAGGAAAGGGGGTGTAGGGCTTGGGGGTATTTTTGGGGGAAAGATGTTTCCAAGTGGGCTCTTTCCCTGTTATACTTGTTAGATGCTTGGTGGTGGCAGCAATAAAGTCCAGGGACAAAAGGTAAAATAGTTTGTACCTTGGGGAAGTTTTAACCTAAGCTGGTAAAAATAAGCTTAGGGGGGTTTTCATGCAGGTCCCCACATCTGTACCTTAGAGTTCAGAGTGGGAAAGGAACCTTGACACCTATAAAGGCATAAACTTAAAAAAAAACAAACCTACCTACTTCTCTGTAGACATTTATACCAGGTTTATTGCTGTAGTATCTGAAAACAATGAAGTCCACATTGAGTGCCTGAATCAACCTGTTAAAATGAATCAAATCTCTTCAAACAAATCAGGTTGTTAAAATGTTTTCTGTGTAACCAGAGCCTGGTGATTAATTATTTAGAGAAAACTTTAGATGACTGAATAACATGATACAAATGTTGAGATTAAAAATAGCTGCTTCTATTCTTTCCTGTTATCCAAAAGATATTAAATTCTTCTCCTCCTCTGGTGGGCGAAATGCATCCACTACAAATATTTTTCCTTTGCTAACCTTTAACCCCATGTGCTTTTCAAGAGGGGTGCAACAGACATTTAAGGGCTCTGTCTACACTACAAAGATAGGTCGCCTTACAGCCACCACATTAATTACTGCAGTGACTGATGTCCACATTGCCCTCCTTCTGTTGGTGGTGTATGTCCTTACTAGGAGTGCTTCCATTGACTGAAGCCAGGGCATGCAGCCCCCTACCGGAAGCCCAGCTGCCTCTTGGAGCTTTTCTCTCTTTTAACCTCCCAGCTGGGAGCAGCAGGGCAGCCACCCAGGGCTTCTTGCCTCTGACGGGAAGATCTGCACCTGGAGTCAAGATAGCTGCCGTGCTCCTGAGGGGGAGGAGGGGGAGAGCAGGCCTCACTGCGGACAGTGGGGAACCTGGGCAGCAGCCCATGAGCCGGCTTTCTTGACAAGGATGACAGCTAACAGCCGACGTAAGGAACGCAGTGTCTATACAGACACTGCATCACCCTAACTACACCACTATAAGCCCTACACCTCTCATTGAGATGGTTTTATTATGTCGGCACAGTAGGGGACTTACATCGGCGGGAGGAGCATTTCAGTGTGTACACCTCCACTCGTTTGTCAACAAAAACTGACGTTTGTCAACAAAACTGTAGCATAGGCAAGGCCTAAGACTGTCTTTGAAGTAATAACATTGTGTTCACACTTATATTTGAACAATACAAGTCAGCAGTTTTTGTTTTTATCCTTTGCTTTTGGGTTTTCAGTTCACGGTCTGGGGGAAAATGCCTTGTTGAGTTTAAGTGTCACTCTGCTACACTGTGATAGCAGACACATTAGCTAACCCTGTGACTGATCTCATTCGACATGATGTGTCATAGCACGGATACACTAGCCTGGAAATTCAAGCAGGACTTCTGAATGGTGGAAGTGGCTGTTGTTCCCACCACCCTCCTGTTTAAAAAATAAATAAAAAATCACCAAGCCAAGAAAGGTCAAGACGACACCCAGGAAGAGTTGTAGATGTTTGGCAACTCGTTTTATTCCCACATTCAGGCCATCGCTGTGAAAGAAGACATGCCCTAGAGTAGATGAGGGATGAGGTGGAAATGTTTCAGGGGTAGGATCTGAGCCATGTCCAGTAGGGCTGTGGCTCCTCCCTCCCTTCTGAATATTTGACCCTCTCCCCGGCCCTGCTTGCCACTACCCCCTCCAGGCTGTCCCTGGCTAGCTCTGTTAACTGGGGGGCTCCGCTCTCCGCCCGCTCCATGCCCGAGAAGAGACGGTGCTGGAGGCTTGGCCGCTGTGCGGGGCCGGGGCCTCCACCCGCCTGACGTCCGGGCCCCAGCTCATTGTGACGCCGGGCGCTGCCCGGGGGGGCGGTCGGGCGGCTGGGCCGGGCGCGCCATGCGCAGGCTGGCAGCTTTCAGCCCCCGGGGCGCCTCCAGCCCCCCGGAGCCGCCTCCCTCGGGCTCCCCGCTCCCTCCCGCCGCCCCTTTCTCCCGCTTCCCTTTGCTGCCGGGGATCGGGGCCGCCCCGCCGCCGCAGCGCATGGCCGGCCAGTTCGGGAGCATCTTGGTCGGCTCCTACCTGGAGATCAAGCGCAGCGATGGGCGCATCCACCCGGCGCTGGTCACGGCGCTGCACCGGGACAGCTCCAGCCTCACCGTGGAGTGGGTCGAGCAGGGGGCCAACAAGGGCAAGAGGGTGGAGCTGCAGCTCGCCTTCGCCCTCAACCCCCACCTGGCCCCCGCCGCGCCCTGCTCCGCCCGAGGCGACCAGAGCCTCCCGGCCGAGCCGGCGGCCACGCCCGCCAAGCTGGAGCTGCCCGGCGGGGACTGCGGGGAGCCGGAGCCCGGCCGGCCCCGCGTGGGGCGCGGCAGCCCCTGCAGGAAATCGCCGTGCGTGCGGCAGGTGGAGCGGCTGCAGGAGCTGCGCCAGAAGCGGCGGCTGCAGCAGCGGGAGCTGCGGGAGCAGCGGGCCCAGCAGGCGGCCGGCTCGCCGCACCCCAACTACGAGGTGATCTGCATGATCCAGGAGTACCGGGGCCGCCTGCCTGGCGGGGCGCTGGGGGGCCCCGAGCCCGGCCCCCGCCAGCACCGGATCCGCGTCTGCGTCCGCAAGCGGCCGCTCAACCCGCGGGAGGCCGGGCTGCAGGACTTCGACGTGGTGACCGTCCCCTGCCGGGGCGTGGTGGTGGTGCACGAAGCCCGGCAGAGGCTGGACCTCAGCCGCTACCTGGAGAGCCAGACCTTCCGCTTCGACCACGCCTTCGACGACAGCGCCCCCAACGAGCTGGTGTACAGGCACACGGCCCAGCCGCTGGTGGAGAGCATCTTCCGCGGCGGCATGGCCACCTGCTTCGCCTACGGCCAGACGGGCAGCGGCAAGACCCACACCATGGTGGGGGACCTCTCAGCCAAGGGCCAGGGCTGCCCCAAGGGCGTCTACACCCTGGTGGCCCAGGATGTCTTCTGCTGGCTGCAGGAGCCCAGCTACAAGCAACTGGAGCTCCAGGTCTACGGGGCTTTCTTCGAGATCTATGGGGGCAAGGTGTACGACCTGCTCAACTGGAGGAACCGGCTGAAGGTGCTGGAGGACGGCAAGCAGCAGATCCAGGTGGTGGGGCTCCAGGAGGAGGAGGTCAGCTGCGTGGAGGATGTCATGAAGCTCATCGAGATGGGCAACCGGTGCAGGACATCGGGCCAGACCTCTGCCAACACCCACTCCTCCCGCAGTCATGCCATCTTCCAGATCATCCTCCGGAAGAGAGGGAAGCTTCACGGCAAGTTTTCCCTGATTGACTTGGCTGGGAATGAGAGAGGAGCAGACACTGGCAGTGCGGACAGGCGGACGAGGCTGGAAGGGGCTGAGATTAACAAGAGTCTCCTGGTACTCAAGGAATGCATCAGGGCCCTAGGACGCAACAAAGCCCATACCCCGTTCAGGGCTAGCAAACTCACCCAGGTTTTAAGGGACTCGTTCATAGGGGAGAACTCATGCACCTGCATGATCGCCACCATTTCTCCAGGGATGAGATCCTGTGAGCACACTCTCAATACTCTAAGGTACGCCAACAGGGTGAAGGAACTGACTGTAGATCCTAATTTCCTTGGACAGTCACATCCAATCATCACCCAGTTCCCATATCAGCTGGATGACCTGAAGAAACCGTGGACTGTACAGAGCTTGCCTGAGACGGATGAGTTCAAAGTATTTTGTGTACAGAAAGAGGAGGAAGTCTCTCCTCAGTTGTTTACTTTCAATGCCAGAGAGAAAGCCCAGAAGAAAAGAAAAGAGTTGGACGAGAAAGCACTTATAGAGGAGCACCAGGAGTCTCTCCGATGGTTGAAAGTATTTCTGGAAGTGGCTGAAGAAATAGATTATGACGTGGATTTTTATGCTGCACAGTTTGAAGCAGTCCTGGGGCAAAAGATTGGCATTCTGACTGAGATCCAAGATAAAGTGAAATCATTCCGGTCAATCCTACATAAGGAACAACATGGCGGCAACCAGATCAGTGTGAAGAGATCCCGTGTTCTGTAAATTGAGTGGAAAGATTGTAAACTACTGTAAGATGGCAATTGTTATGATACTGTGGCTCTAGCCACCCAACAACTTGATTGCTTAAAGGATACTTAAAAGATGTCTGTGGGAATGTCCTGTTTGTTTTTCTCTTGAACGGCATTTCGGGCTAGCATAAAAACACTCCTGGGATGTCGCCAGATAATTTCTTGCTGCAGACAGCAGAACCATGCAGAGTGTAGGAGCTAATCACTAGGGAAAAGCAGGGAACTCGTAGAAAAGAAATCTAATCCATGTGTGCAGGCTTCCCTCATATCCCTTTAAAATATATATATATTTGTACCTTTCTAGATACTGCCTATTCCCACATTCTGTCAACCTGTATCAACTTGAGAACAGATTCCCCGGGGAGTTAGGCATTTTGAGTGATTTTTAAAGGTGTTAAAGTGCAAAGCACTGCCATTTCTATTCTGAGAATGATACTTTTGGAGAATGTGGGTTATTTTGTGCATACATAGCATAAGCAATAAGCATATAGAATATGCCCCTTCTATTTTTTTTCTCTCTCAACTGTGTTCTTGTGAGTCATTTAAAAAAAGAAAAGAAAAACCTCTTCCTTCTCAGAAATCAGGCCAAGGAATAAGATATTGTCCTATGACTGTCCTCTGGGGAGAAATTCAAAATCAAAAGTGATGTGCCTTCAAGGGCTAGAGAGGGAAGCAGGGGATACAGTGCCCTGTATCAAAGGCCTTGAAGAGAGGCAATTTGCCAGACCAAAGGGCCAGAAAAGCTGCATTCACCAAGGTGCCACAAGTACTCCTTTTCTATTCACCAAAGTGCTATCTGATAAGTGCACATTACCATGCTAAAGGCATAAGATGAGAGATAGCCTTAGATTGTTGCATCATCCCTGATGTGAAATACCACAGAAACTGCTCTATGTTGGATAGCAGTTATGCTAATCCTTCTGGTACATATCTACACTTATTTATTTTAGAAATTAATTTGTTTAAATTCCTGAGCAATATATGGCAACAAATAAATATTTGTGAGATTAAAGTGTGTAAATAATACATAATTAATTGATGGCAGTCTCTGCTCTTTTCCTCTTCCTACTTGCCTTTTGATACCATCAACCAGTTTATCCTATTGCGCATCTGAGGTCCTGGTCCAGAGCCTGTTGAAGTCAATGGAAGAACTCCTGTTGACTTCAATGGCCTTTGGAACGGGCTCAGAAATAGAAGCTGGTGTCTCCAATAGTCTCCTTCATAGTTCAGATGCCATCAGTAATTCTAATGCTCCCTTTCCATTTCTGGTAGAAGATTTGTCCTCTTGTCCCTTTAGCTGTGGGTAGCTGTGTTGAAGGAAGCTGTATCTACAGTGGTGGATTTGTTAGACACAAATGTTTAAATGCTGATTGACTAGTAGTAATACTCAGGACTTTTCATCTTCAAAGCCCTTTTCAAACATTGGTGTATTAGCATCTCGTTTCTTCCAGCACTAATAGCTTATGCAATTACCTCATTCTTCTCTGGATAGCATTATTGGATGTCAAATTAAGAGATGCTGTTCCCAAGAGCAAGTACAAAGCCTGGGAAATGGCAGTTTCCTGTTGAAAAAAGTCTCCGGTATTCCAAAAATAACTTTGGGAGAGGGTGGGGAGTTCCCCCTCCCTTATGGCTCCTTCCTGGGTTTTGTGGAAGAGAAAACTCTTTGAGGTTCCCCATCTGACATCTCCTCTGAATTCATGTATCAGAGGTGATGATGGAGAGGTGGGGTTGAAAGAGATACCAGATCCTAAATCCCACCTAGGCCTGCATCCCACCTAAATCCAAACTGGAGCTGAACTGCCAGGTAATCTCAAACTGGGAAACTTCCCCTGACCCTCCCCTTTAACTGTGTGTGTGTGAAGAGGAGGGTTCCACAGCATGGAGTGGCTCTGTGAAGAAGTTAATGCAACCTGGAGTCATAATATCTTTTGCACAGATTCCCTTTACGGACTGGGGGTGGGTGATGCTCACTCCCTGTGCTTGTCCCAAATGCTGAATCCAGGCCTATGTTCCTAATGCTGGAGTGCGTGCTAGTGTCCAAGGTGTAAAGCTGTGGAATAAAGTATATTAGCAACACGGTTATGCATTGAGTTGGGCGTATTAGAAGTAAAGTTTTAATAAGCTGAAAAAAATTCTAGCAGGACATTATGGTTTGCATCATGGACATGAAACAGATGGGCATTTTTTTGTTTATACCTACGTCAGCGGTTGGCAACCGTGGGCATGCGGCCCATCATGGTAATCCGCTGGCGTGCCGCGAGACATTTTATTTATGTTGACCATTCGCAGGCACGGCCCCTCACAGCTGTTCACAGTGGCCGCAGTTCGTCATTCCCAGACAAACACCCTGATGGGCCGCGTGCCAAAGGTTGCTGACCCATGACCTACATGATAAGGAGTCTCTCTGGGTCTCAGTTTGGGAAGTGACTCATGAGCACAGTCTGCTGGTTCCTAGGGAACTAGCAAAGTAGTTAATTGAATGAGCATTTGCCATTCAAATCATTATATAATTTATAGATTCACCTTGTTTCTCCCTTCCTGTAATTTGATTATCTTCTCTTCTGTATCGTCCTTTGCTTTAGCAAACTTGCTGCATAATCAGAAATCATTTGATCTTGTATAGAGGTGAGCAAAACTCATCCATTATGGTTTCTGGGGCTCTGTTCAAGCTTTTTCTTTGGTTTTTCTGTATGTGGATTTGCAACAGCAAACTTCACTTTGTGTTTTGGGTTTGAAACTGTGGATTAAGCAGATTTTAAAAACAAACAAAAAAACCCAGCAACAATAAACACACACGTAAATTATTCCGCATTGACTGAAAGTGTTTGCAATTTTTTTTTAGTGCTTTGCAATTTGTGTCTGTGTGTTTTCGTACTAGGGTTGAGTTTGTAATGAACTCAAAAATCAGGTGAGTTTTACTTGGTTTTAGGTTTGCAGTGCTCTAATGAATGCGGAGCACTTAATGTATTAAGACCAGCCATTTAGTTAAACAACTGAAATACTTTGTTGGATGTGCCTTCTGTTTATAATGGCTTATAGCTGTATGAGCAACCAAAGCTCAAGAGTTGGCCTGCATGGAGCTCACTGTAGGGGCAGAGCCTTTGTCAGCTTCTGGCTACACCATAAATTCCTACCAGTGATCGCTTCACAGATGGAAGCCCTCCTTCTGTGTGAAAGGTTGTTTTTGTCACTTGTCTCTGACTGTGCTCTAATTGCTTATTTTGTTCCACATGCGGAATATTGGAGTCATCTTTTACTCCCAAATATCCTTTTATTTCCCACAACTCTTTCGTCTAATAATCCTGCCTATTAACGTGTGGAATGTTACCAGAATGCAGCCCTGTGGTGACTTTGTCTCTTTTGAAATCCTTTTTAATTCTTATGGTTCTGTGTCTCAGCTGTTGCCATTTCTTCCTCCCTGGAGGAAGACAGGACAGGTCACCCCAACACCCATCACATTCATCAGCTTTCTGTCCATTGAAGAATTAAATTAAAAACCCTGTTTTTTGAAAGTGTCCATGGCTTTGCTCTGTGACCTGGTATCCACCTACTTCCCCAGCCACACCTAGAGCCTCGGCTTGCTTCCTTGATCTGCCTTTGCTGCTCTTTGGGAGTCATTCACTCTCCTGTGCAGTCCCATCTGGAAATTCTCCCTTTCAGCTGCTCAATCACTTCCTCTCTTCCGAGCTCCCCCAGTGTTGCCAGCTCTCAAGTCTCTCAATATTTGGTGGTTTTCTTTAATACTGCAGCTCCTGGAGCCACGGTATGCGAAAATCACAGGTTTCCATTTTTTAAGTAACATTGTAGTTGTGGAGAAAAGCCTGAAAACATGAAACATAAATGCTTATAAACCAGAACATCAATAGAAAAACAAAAACTTTTTTTTTTTAATAAATCTCATGATTTTGGAGGGACCTGACTTACAATTTTTGAAGTTGGCAGTACTGCTCTCCTTAGCCCGTCCTGGGCTCATTAGTATCTGGTTGACTCTGAAAAGTATTGTCTGGGTAAGAATCAAGAGACAGAGGCTGCCTGGCCCTGGGTGCACATTGAGATCAGGAGGAGGCATAAGTAGCCGACTCCTGAGCAGACCAAAGCAAGGGCCCAACAGAATTGCAGCTCTGACATCCTGGGGCACACAGGAGCTTTTGCTGTTTCTCATGGAAGAATCAGAGCCATGAATTCACCACTCCATCCATCTCAAAACACAGGCATTTGTAACCCACTGGTGAGTGTGTATTACAAGTTCCCCGTTTTGTCCTAGCTGCAGAGGAAACGAATCTGTTACAACCCAGATTCTGCTTTTAGTATTGAAGGTGCAGTTCAGGCCCCAATGTGTCAGCCAAGGTGGTGACTGTCACACATTGACTAGTGGGGCTGCTTAATCTGCACACTACAAAGGGTATGCAGCCCCTGTGCACTCAGGAGCTCTGGGAGACAGACTGCCTCCAGTTGCTGCGACTGAGGTGGTGTGTGTCCTCTGCACTGCATGCAATTTGCTCAGTTTAGCACTAAGAAGCTGTGGATTTGTCCCTATGTTCTTTCCTTTTTTACTATCCCAGTATATCTCATCACATTGTTATTATTGTGCTAAAACTTGAGGTCCTTTGTCAGATTTTTCTCTGTTTTTTTGCTCAGGCAAACCCCAAGACAGATGGAATTAATAATAGTTGCAGCCAATAACATATGTTTAGTAATGCACATCAATATTTTTTACTTTCACAGATGCTAGGATTTTGCATTATAGAGATGTATGATTCTTAAACTAATTTCAACAAAGCCAAGAAAGTGATCTCTATTGGCAATACAATAAAACCACATTTAAGTGAATGACTTTTCATAGCACCTATTTTATATGCTAGAAGATTATGTTTGAAACTGCACTGTACTAACAGGCAATACTGAACACACTCTTAGTACACATTACATTTCAAATTCTCACATCTCCCACTTAGCATCGTGAGTTAACAAACCTTTCTCCGACTGAATCTAAAAATAGGATTTATGAGGTGTTTGTATCGCCTTCCTTTTATTGTCGACAGGAGCATGCGACATCTCAGCGGGAACTTTTAAGGACATTCGATTCTGCAACAATTTACCTTACATTGTGCCTCTCATCCTCCTCGATTGCTACTAGAAATGTGTGCACAGGAACAATGATTGTTTTCCTCAGGATATTCCTTGAAGATTTCCTTCTTTTTGTGTTTTCACATTTAGAGTTGTTCTTCTGCTGGTGCCCTGCTAATCATTTCCTCAGTAGCAGATTGTGATGTGATGTGACATACAAGAATAAGACTTCAAGTTGAGGGGGGGGAAACCAAGAGTAAGTGAAGTCTGAGACACAGGAATCCTGTTTTTATGTGAAAATCTCTATTGATAAACAAACAGGGAAGAGGAATATTTAATAAAATTAAGATCTATATCACAAAATTGTCTAAATTTGAGGCTAAGGCAGGTCTACAAGCTACAGGCTGTAGCCAGCTATTTTGCTATAGATATATGGGCATATGCTAACAGTGGCTCTCAACCTTTCCAGACTACTGTACCCCTTTCAGGAGTCTGATTTGTCTTGTGTACCCCCAAGTTTCTCCTCACTTACCTACTTGCTTACAAAACCACACATAAAATTACAAAAGTGTCACAGCACACTACTACTGAAAAATTGCTTACTTTCTTATTTTTACCGTATAATTATAAAATAAATCAATTGGAATATAAATATTGTACTTACATTTCAGTGTATAGTATATAGAGCGGTATAAACAAGTCGTATCAAATTTTAGTTTGTACTGACTTCGCTAGTGCTTTTTCTGTAGCCTCATGTAAAACTAGGCAACTGTCTAGATGAGTTGATGTACCCCCTGGAAGACCTCAACCAGGGGTATGTAGGTATACCCCTGGTTGAGAACCACTGGATTAAGGCAGTAGCGCAAAAGCATACAGGTCTCAAGCCTGTAAGACAACAGCTTAGTCAAATTAACTCACGCAAGATCTTAAGACCTAAAGACTTGACATAAGCAACTAACCAGTAGGAGACCTTATATCACCAGATGTCACAAGATACAGTGCTGTTATAAGCAAGTGTTGCTAAACTGCTGGCAGGTAACCACAAGGTGCCATTTTATACCAGCTTTCGATATTTTAAATTAGGAACTCAGTATATATCCAACCCTAAGAATGCTGTGGTAACTAATTGTGTGCCGTGTTGTTGGTCCCAGGCTATTAGAGAAGCAAGGTGGGTGAGGTAATATCTTTTATTGGACCAACTTCTGTTGGAGAGAGAGACAAGCTTTCGAGCTTACGCAGAGCTCTTCTTCAGGACGCTTCAGACAAGTTCTAGAGCTTGTTGCTCTCCAATAAATGATATTATCTCATGGTAACTATACAATAATGAGCTTGAGGTAAAAGGCTGAGTAACCTATGGACAAAGGGCACCTCAACATGAGTAGGGTGAGGAAATACAGATGAGGAAAAGGGACTGACACCCCCTACTGAATATGAATTAGGAATAGTGGGTGTTAGCATAGTCTATGATAAAAGGTGGTGTTCAGCCCATGCACTCCTGGGAGATTTCCTGGAACCTGACAGGGCAAGGACTGCTTGTAGGTCATCTTCCCTACTATGGGGCCCCCCAGCAAAGTGAAGTTTGCAAGTTCCGGATGCTTGTATTATCTCTGTCTACTTTGCTATGTTATAGTGTTTGTGATATTGCTGATTGTGCTGCTAAAGCTATCACAAATTCAGAAGGTCCTCCCTAAGTATGAGTGTCTCATTAGACTGGAGTCCTCACCCCCAAACTAACTGTAATTCTGTGGCCAATCTTGAAGCAGCTGAAAGCTGCCAAACCACGTTATGTTAATTGGAAACTCCAAATAATATATAATCAACAGACCAGACAGCAAGGGAAACTTCTCAGGAAGCCCCTTGAGCTTCAAGCGTCTGCTTCTTGTTGCCCCTTGGATTTGAGGCAGTAGGTGCCCTAAGGTGATTTGAGATGCCCCATAATGCATAGCAGTGGAGCATGCTAAATTCAAACACAAGAGAAAGCAAATGTCAGGAGGAAAAATAAAGAATAAAGGCACTGAGGTAGCTGGCCCCACCAAAAACTCACAGCAGGGAATGTTGGCAGCTGCACTTCCAGCCCCTTTTTCTGGAGGGTGAAAATATCAGCCCATTTCCTCTTGGCCCTTGGAGCTGCTTTTGGGAGGTGTGTGTGTGAATAGACTGTTCTTTCTCTTTTCAGCAGATGGGCTTCGCCCTAACACTGAAGCTGCTACATGTGATCAGTCACATTTTCAGTGGGGCTTTTTAACTGTGTGTACAAAATGTGTGGATTAATTTGTCAGACTTGGCATGTCTGCACATAAAATGGGCAACTGTGCCTGAAAAGTCTTGATTTGTGTGTGCAATTCAGCCATTGCCTGTATGGACATGGGAATTTGACTCCCACATTTATTATGGGTGCAATTAAAGAAGTCTGCTGGAAATCTTATTGTAAGTTTTCCAGGAGTTATCTGTTGATTATAGGAAGGTATTTTATGTTTAGTTCTGGGAACAGTAGCATCATTCAGGATTTAAATTTCTGAACAACTGAACATGCAAATATCTACCACATTCTCGATAGTCTGAAATATTGTGTACTGGAACAATGGACTGCTAATTGTTGTATCAAAGGTTAAAAAAGGTGTGAAAAAAGCTGTTTAATAGTTTTCTGTGTGTCTGCTCCTAAAACTTGTGCCCAAAGCGTAGGTTTCTCATGCTCATTGGCTAGGCTTTCCTATTTGCTTGTCACCTCAGACCTA